AGACTAAAACAAATACTAAAACACTAATACGTGTCCACCTAACATTCCCTCCCTTGAACTAAAACACATGTATTTTAGTTTAACTCCGACGCACTAACCATTCCAAGCATACCACGGAGTTTTTCAAACTGTTCAAGTTTGAGTGGTTTTGTCATCAAGTCTGCTACTTGCTCTTGTGAGTTGCAGTACTTTAATTCTACAACACCTTCATTCACTAAATCTCTTAAAAAAATGAAACCGCACATGAATATGCTTACTTTTCCGTGAAAAACCGGATTCTTAGCCAACTGAATGGCAGAGCTGCTGTCACATTGAATTATAGTTCCTTCAACCTGCTCCACTCCAATCTTTCTTAAGATTCTCTTTAGCCATATACACTGACAAGCACATAGAGTTGCTGCGATATATTCGGCCTCGGTAGTTGATAAAGTCACTACAGGCTGCTTTTTTGACGACCAGGATACAGCTCCAGATCCTATCATGAACACATATCCAGATGTACTTCTTCTATCATCAAGATCACCCGCATAGCCACTATCTGTGAATGCCAAGAGTTTTGAACAACCTTCATTCTTTGTGTAGAAAATGCCTAGCTCAAGTGTCCCCTTTAAATACCTCAAAATTCTTTTGGCTGCCAACCAATGTGACATGGTTGGTCTAGACATGTACCTGTTTATGAGACTTACACCATACATTAAGTCAGGACGAGTTATAGTTAAATACATGAGACTTCCAACCATTTGTTTGAACATTGTTGCATCAACTTTAGTTCCTCCTTCATCCTTTGACAACTTTGTTCCCGGTACAATTGGATTTTTCACACTATTGCTATTTTCCATTTCAAATCTTGCTAACACTTCTCGTGCATACCTTCTTTGACAAATAAAAATACCATTTGAATTTTGCAGCACTTCCATTCCAAGGAAGTGTCTCATTCTTCCTAACTCGGACATATCAAACTCTATCATCATTGACTTTTTAAATTCCATACACATGTTCACATCACTTCCAGTAAATATTAAGTCATCTACGTAAAGGCTAATTATTAAAATTTTACCTCCTTTTGACTTGGTGAACAAAGTATGCTCACTCGAACATTTCTCGAAGCCTTCACGCAGAAAGTAAGCCTCAATTTTGTTGTACCACGCCCTTGGCGCTTGCTTAAGGCCATATAGAGCCTTTTTTAGCTTGTAAAACTTCCCTTCTTCTCCCTTCTTAACAAACCCTTCAGGTTGTTGTACAAATACTTCCTCCTTGAGTTCACCATGAAGGAAAGCGCTATTTACGTCAAGCTGAAAAACCTCCCAGCCACACTGTGTTGCTACTGCAAGTATTGTTCGAATGGTATCGAGCCTTGCCACTGGTGCAAATACTTCGGTGTAATCAACTCCATACCGTTGTGCATAACCCTTAGCAACCAATCTCGCTTTATGTTTCTCGACATCCCCATTTTCATTATGTTTGGTCTTAAAGACCCACCTAACTCCAATAGGCTTGACATCCTTAGGCAAATCCATCAATTCCCATGTTTGGTTCTTCTCTATAGCTTTCATTTCTGCTTCCATAGCCTCTTTCCACTTCTTGCTTTTGACTGCCTATGCAAATGAAAAAGGATCATTCTCTGTTACCATCATCATTGCATGCATATCTTCTTCTTCTTCTGAGAAACCTTCTCCTGTTTCATAGTCCGCCATCCATACCAGTTTTGTTCTGACTCTTTCACCCCTCCCTTCATCTGCAACTTCTTGAATGTTTTCTTCATTTTGTGGTGAATAATCAGAAGTAGTATTTCTGCCCATGACCTCCACAATATTATCCTCGCCGACATGCACTTTTTCACTTTCATTATCATCTTCTAGCACATCCAAATTCAGTTCTTCTTCAGTTCTTCCCCAATTCCAGCCCTCTTCTTCTTCAAATTGAACATTGTTGTTGATGATGATCTTCTTAGTGGTTGGATCATACAATCTATAGGCCTTGGATTCATTGCTAACACCTATGAATACACACTTCTTGCTTTTGGCATCTAACTTGCTCCTCTTTTGGTCTGGAATATGAGCGTGTGCTATGCAACCGAACACCCGGAAATAAGTTGTTGTTGGTTTCACTCCACTCCATGCTTCCTCTGGAGTTTTTTCTTTTACCGCTACGGTCAGGCTCCTATTTTGAACGTGAACACACCAATTTACAGCTTCTGGCCAAAGCACTTTTGGAACTTTCTTATCAGCTAATATTGAACGTACTGCATTCATGATTGTTCTGTTCTTTCGTTCGGCAACTTCGTTCTGTTATGGAGTGTATGCTGCTGTCAACTGCCTGCTTATACCATGAGCTTTACAAAATTCTCCAAATTCATTTGAGTTAAACTCACCTCCTCTATCTGTTCTCAAACAAGTTATATATGCACCAGCCTCTTTTTCAATAAATGCTTTGAAATTCTTGAATGCACTAAAGGCTTCTGATTTTTCATGTAAAAAATAAACCCAAGTTTTACGTGAAAAATCATCAATGAAACTTATGATATACCTTTTGTTACTGTTGGAAGCAGGTTTGATAGGCCCACACAAATCAGAATGCACGAGTTGAAGTTGCTTTGAGGCTCTCCAAAAACTTTGTTTTGGAAAGGATCCTCTATGCTGTTTGCCAACCAAACAAGTTTCACATAATTTTTCTGGAACTTTGAGCAGCGGCACACCGTCTATCATTTTCTTGTATGCAAGTGTTCTTAATCCTGTGTAATTCAAATGGCCAAATCGACGATGCCACATGTGTGATTCTTTCTCAGAGGAAAGTTTAGCCTAAAGACACATCGAATTTTCTTTTGCTTCCATAGATGCTAACATATAAAACATTCTATTTCCACCCATGTTAGTTTGCATAATTAAATCTCTTTTAGGATGATAAACTTTACAAGTCTCTTGCTGAATTATAATAGCTAAACCCTTCTCCTGAAGTTGACCTATGCTCAACAAATTACTTTTCAACTCAGGTATGTAAAAAACATTTGAGATTACCTGAATAATACCGTTCACTTGAAGCCGTACACTCCCTTTAGCTACCACTACCATTCTAGTGTCATTCCCAAGCTTCACAGTTTGTTTAAATCCTTCCTCTAGCTCCGAGAACCATTCTTTATTTCCGGTCATGTGATTCGAACACCCAGAGTCAAGAAATCAAGCTTCTTCTATTTTGGTTTGATCAGCATCAACATAAGACATCAGCAGAACCTTTTCTCCTTCTTCTACATATTCAGCGTAGTTAGCCCGTTTCTCCCAATCAGGACACTCATATTGAATGTGTCCCAACTGATGACATTTGAAACATTCTACAGTGGCTTTATTCATAGATGATCTCCCTCTTCCTCTACTTCGACCCCCTCGGAATGAGCCTCTGCCCCGTCGTGGCTTGTCGTCATAAGATATTTTTAATGCTTGTTCTTCCTCCTGATTCCCATGCATTCTTTGCTCTTGAACAAGTAAACTTCCATGGAGCTCATCAACAGTCATAGTATCTATGTCATTTGACTCCTCAATTGAACATACAACATAATTGAACTTGGAAGTCAAAGATCTCAAAATCTTACCCACCACTGTGCTTTGCTTCATATCTTCTCCATTCACTTTCATTTTATTTATCACCATGAGGGTTCGTGAAATGAAGCTATCGATCTTTTCTCCTTCTTTCATAACCAGCATTTCAAACTCCTTCCTCAATGCCTGCAGCTGCGCTCTCTTTACTTTGGTTGATCCCTGGTACTTCTGCTTCATCGAATCCCATATCGCCTTTGATGTTCTTTTGTCAAGAATGGTTTCCATGATCTCTCTGTCAATTGCTTGAAAGAGATAGTTCTTAACTTTCAGATCTTTGAGTTTTGTTTCTTCGACACTTTTCCTTTGAGCCTCACTTGCCGCTGAAGTCCCGATTGTTGGTGCTGGAATACCTTCATCCACCAGGTTCCACATCTCTTTGCTCCTCAAGAAATTCTCCATCAACATCGACCAATGATCGTAATGGCCGTCAAATCTTGGAGTCACAAATTTCTCAGAGGTTGTCATGCTTCACTCACTCTCACACTCCTACAGCCCCTTTCGAAAGCTCTTGATACCAAATGTTAGAAATCAGATTTTAACAAAACTACAAAAGTGAGTGGAGGAATATGTATTATTCGATTAATCAGTGGCTAATATATAGCCATCTTACAAGCAAAAGAAAAAATAACTAACTCTACTCTTTACATGCCTACAGAGTAATAAAATAAGTAACAAACCCTATTTCTCCTAAAGAATAGGTCTTATTCAAACAGACTAATAAAACAGTAGACTAAAACACTAATACGTGTCCACCTAACAATTAAAGTGTCTGATGAAACAGTCTAAGCTTGCAACTCTATCACGTTTATTTTCAAAAAGAATAAGAAAACTCTATCTCACACTTCTTAATTATCATGGTAGTGAATACTTAGATGCTCAGTGTATATGAAAAAATATGTAAGAAAAGACTGATCTCTCATAGTTGATCAATGATCAATGCATTGATCTACAAAAAGAAAATATGTTCAACCAAAAAACTAACCAACCACTAGAAAATGGTAAATATTAACGCGGAAAATGAATGTAACCATACTAGTAACATTTTGCAGGTGGAAAAGCTCAGTAATTATCACAGCACAAGAGAGCACTGGTGGGCATTTGAGGTCCAACCTTGTCCGAGTAGCCCGTATTATTGAAATTTTCATTCTAAGCAATTCAGCATTGTAATCATTGGTGTGAGAGAGAGAAATATACAGAGCCTAGTAATATAGCTTTGGTACAAACCCCAAAACCAAATGGAGTTACGTAGATATCACAGAATCAACAAATTTCAGTTGGTATGAAAGTAAAAGGCTAACTTTTCTGCTTGTGGGTCAAGGCGAATCCCGTTGGCATCCTAGGTGGAACCAAATAATCTCTGCAACTTTAAGTATTAAATCAACAGTGTTGTAAATATTCAAAATTTGATGATCATGTAAGGCTAATGGAATTGGCATAGGATTGAAGAAAAACTACAGCCTGCTCAGAAATAGCTCTGTTTCTTGCTTGCTTCACCCAACCTGCAACAATTTCTTCAGCTTGGGTGTCCCTGACACTTTCTTCTAGAAAATCTGCTGCTTCGGCCAGTTTTCCTTCAGCTAAGTAACTCTCAACTTTGTTAATCACAGATTCAATCCCATCACCTGATTGGTCAGCTTCCCGAACCTGATTATGGACCAACAATTTGTACTTCAGGATAAATTTAATAGAGGTGAAAATGAGAGAATTAGGGAACCGGAAAGAAATAACGGTACGAATGTATCAAAGCACAAATTATGTTTCAAATTTCACTGCTTCCATCAAATTCTATTTTTCCATTAAACGCATTTATATGTAAATGCCATGTTGGTCACCACTTATCTACGTACCTTCAACAAGGATGCTACACGTGCCAAAGAATGTGCCAAAATACCTCCCCCTCCTGGTGGGAAAAACACGAAGTGTCGTATATTGCCTTTTAAGAAATCAAACTGCAACATAATATGTATAAATTAGAAACGTTCAAGATTTAAATTTAAAATTATATGATCTACTCGAGAATTGACGTAGTAACAGTCAACTGCATTTCAGGAAATCACAAAAAATATTCAATAATTCCAGAAATTTCTTCACTGGTCAATTCAATTGTTTTATACAAATTTACAAGGCACTTGAAAAGATATGATCATTACTGAATGTCAAAAATAACCAAGGGATTGGCCACTAATAAAAGTAAAGAAAACAAATTAAAGAGATTCATATTCAGTCTGTAAGGGTCCAGAAAATACAATAATTAGCATATTATCAAAAGAAAGTTCTGCCAGGATAAAACTATCAATTGACAGACAAATGTAGCAATTTTATAATCAATTGACAGAACAAGTAACCCAGAAAGTTAACCATAGACAAGAACACATCTTGCCTTCTGCTTTAATTGAAGTTGTGTGTCAGTGCCTTTGTTTCTTGTCTCTTCAGGAAGAGACGCTAGCACCAAATCCAGAACTGAATCTTTATCTATGCCTTCAAGGTAAGACTGCACAGATTCTATTTCCGTCTGAATTGGCAATCCATTTGACAATGCATCTTCGAGTGCAAGTGCTCTCTGTAGGATTCATGCACCAATAACAAGAAACTGATAATTATTAGCCGGATTGGAACTAAATAAATATTACAAAATAATATTTCATCAAAATCTGCTCCATGTATGAAATATAGATAAAAATAACAAGAAACGGAGGGGGGGAAATTACCAAAGCAAAATTTTGTGCAGCATTACTTTGACGAGCTTCTTCGGATCGAGCATAAAATGCCATGCACAGGGCATTTATCTAGAGAAATGGAGGGAGAGATTTTGAATCAAGTCAACTTTCAACTTTGATATACGCCACATGAAAGATATTGATAATTGAGACAGTCAACATGTAAATCAACAAGAACTCTAAATCAAGTCTCACTAGCTAAAGTATGACGTGAACTTTGCAACTATCAAAAGTCTACCAGTGTTTTGACTTTTTTAACATAAGTATTCCTTGATCAACTACTTAGAAGCTTATGTTTGTATAACCAAACGATTTTCCAATAATTTCAAGTCACTTATGCTATAGTTGTCTAACTAAACATAATTAAGAAAAGAAGTAATTCCACATACAAAAATAAATGCAGATTTGAAATTCATGTGTTTTACTTTTTATATTTTTAACATTTCTTTTGATCTTTGGGATGTACAAAAAAACTCTATCACAAACCAGAGAAGATTCAAAGGGTGACAGGTTTGCTTTATTTTGATTCACGGCACGAAAATCATTGAAGGAAATTCTTTGGAATCAACCAGTGTGTAAAGGAATGAACATGCAAGTGAAGCACTTGTTTGCTAAGAATGACAGGAAGTTTATTATAAAATATACCAAAAAATCTACATTGGTGAACAAACTATCCTCTGTTCAGAAACTTGCTTCAAGTAATGTGTATTGCTCAAAAAGTATAGGTGTGTGTTCCCTCTGCAAGGGCAGGGAGGCCTTAGTAGGTTTTTAACACGATATGGTGATTAGGGCTAGCTCACGACGGCGAGAACCCCTGTACGGTGGTGTTTTGAGGTAGTTTAGGAGTCCTGCTCACGTGAGGTGAGAGGCTCTGTGGATGACCGGTGATACTTGGGAGCAAGTGTATGGTTATGGTCAGTCGTGGTGTTGTGACTTGAGTAAGTATTATGCTCTTTTGTGGTGTGAAGAATGATCTCTCCTCTCCAGCATGGGAAATGTATTTATAGAGGCCTTTAAGGCCTCGGATTCTCTTGGGAAGGGTCACCACACACTCAGTCAATGGTGGACCGTCGAATCCCTATTTTCTAGGAAGTCATGGATCAGTTATTGACCTGACTTCTCTCTACCCCATAAACCTCTTATCCCATGTTTCCCACTGCCGGGCAATAGGAAAGTCATGGGGCGAGGCGATACCTCCCTTTAGGCGACATTCCTGCGTCGCCTCTTATGGGGCGGTCTAAAGGCATCGCCCTACGCGAGGCCCTTTACATAACACTACATAATGAAATGGCCATGAACACAATTTACATTAGGCAGGTTTTATTAGATGTAGGGTGCTTAAAATTGCATAAGAAAGTTAAAGTCGTATGAATTTGTTTGCATGCTTTATATAGTTAATCCCATACTTTGAGCCTTTATAACGAAGCCACCCTTAGTAGAAGTTGCTCCGAAATTTTTTTATACTCAAACAAAATTATTATGGCTATTGTATTTTCTATATGCTACCTATTGAAATCATATTCCTTTTCATAAGGTAATTAAAGCTAGCTATGACTAATTTAAATATGGGTGTATTATACCCATCCTTGATTCTAGCAGAAACCTCACATTAATATTTGCTTCAGACATTTTTTCAAGTTGGGATGCCTTCTCATTTGCTATGGCTGCATTTAACTCTGCCTGTGCTAACTCCTGAACTGCCTTCAACTTTAACTCTGCTTCGATATTCTGTAATTATGAATGATGCAACTGATTTTAACAAAAATTGTATCATATATACAGAGACTAGTAATTGCAGATATATAAAGGGAAAGGGGGAAGGGGCAGTACTTGTATTACCAATAAAAAATAATGTGCACCTTTTGTTCAAGTTCTATCTTTAGTTTATCTTCCATCTTTTCTTGAAGCGACTTAATAGCAAGAGATGCTTTTGCCCTCTCTCTCTTTAGCTCCTGAAAAATATTGAGATAAAAAAAAGGGATCAAGACTTGGTAGCTTTGTAGAGGCAAACAGGACATATAAAAAAAAATATCCTTTGGCAGATCAGTGGACAAACCTTGCAATTACGAAACAACTAAACAGGTTGATAGTTCAAATTTGATTCTGATTATTTTTGTGTGATCATTATTAAGTCTCAAATCAATATAATCGTACCTTGACTTTAAATATGAACTGTTATGCTCAATCAAGATTCGAGACCATATAACTAACAAGTTCAATCTATATATACTTTGAACAACAAAACTATAGTCCTGCCCCCACATACAGAAATTATTATTCTTGTAGTTTCTGACTCAGGTATTTAAGACAAAAAGGGAAGAAAACTAAGAACATCTTTACCCTGTCCAACATTGCAGATTCTTCAGCAAGCATAAGTTCTCTGGCAGCTGCATCTTTTAACTTCTTTTCATATTTTTCCTAGCACAAAGTTGCAAGTAAAAATTAATATTATAAACTCGTAAATAAACAAAAAAAGCAACAAATGCTAAGCTGAATCGCATAGATTAGAGAGTAAGTTAACCTTCAATGTTTTCTTCTCTTCATTAAAAGCACGTGCATCTATTGCAGCTTGCCTTTTCTCTGCAGCATGGATGGCTTGTACGAATTCAATAACCAGTTTTCCATCCTTAGATGTGGCATAACCATCTTTCAAGTCCTCTATTACACCACTAAGTGCCTAGTGTTTCAATAAGTTAGCTTTCTCACACGATCATAATCACAAAAGAATGTACAATTGTACCACTAAAAAATTAACAGAAAATAAAAGCAGCATCATAAATAAACCTCTTTTTCTTCAGAAAAATGACCGTTCTCAGTAAGGCCGTGACCATGTAAATAAATAGGAAGGCTTCCTTCTGACTTATTCCTTAAGTGATATTCCTCAAGGAGGGTAGGTGGTTGTTCTATGTCTTTAGCTAATACATTCTGCCATGGAGTAACAAAGGAAATATATTAATAATAAATAAATGCCAAAATTCAATTTAGAAAGAAAAAATGTAAATAAAAATTCATTGGTCAAGGGAATAAATAACCAAATCATTTGATTATTTTGATAAGCTAACATTCTATTATAAAATTTAAACCACCATGATTACCAAAAAAGATCATAGATGATATTAATAATTAACCTGTATACCATGACTAACTCGCGTACCTCACTTCTTTCCTCTATTTCTTCATTTTGCTTCGGTTGAATATTCTCTATCCCATTCTCGTTTAGAAATGCATTGTTCTCAGTAGACGTCGATGTATGTTGGATTTCCTCTTCCGGTTTTAGGGAAACATCTATTTCTGTGCTTTTTATGCCAACAATCACATCAGATTGCACCACAGACTCTTTACTAGGATCATCCGATGTTAGACTACTTTGAGAATATTCAAGAAACTGGTTTTCTTTGGCACCAGCATTACGATCTTCAGCAATATCAGAAATGTCTTGCACGGGAATCGGTTTATCACTTGAATCTTCTATTACGATTTCTGGCTGCGTAAGACTGGTATCAACCTTCTGCTCTGCATGCTCTACAGCAGGATTTTCATTGTTAGACTTTTCATTACTGGTTGAAACTAACTCTTCTATTGAATGTTGTCCACTCTTCAAATCTCCAATGGCATCATCTATCTGAGCTTCCTGAGGGTCACTAAGCTTCTCCTTCTCAAGATATTTATCTAAGAAACCAAATTGATAAGCTGCCAGAAGAGCAGCACTTACAGCAGCACTTCCAATTAAAAACTTTGATCGAGAACCATGAGACTCAGGCGGCTTTCCTGTAGAACCAGGAGCTGGGGCACCAGCTGGTCTCGATGCATTTGAGAATTCCTTTCGCGAAGATAAATGAGAAGGTATCTTCTGAAAAATATAATGCAGAAGCGAACGGTAATAAAATTAGAAAAGGTAATATGTAAAGCAGACTAAAATTTGGAAATGAGTACTACCAGATCAACAACCTAAGTAGTTTGTATCGCGAACACAAGTAGTAAATTACAGAATGTATATGTATAACAAGATTAAGTGTGTCAACATTAACACCTTTCCTGGCTTACATTCTTGTAATCAATAACAACCAAACCTTATACCACTACGCACGGTCAGCTAGCTACATGGTTCAGACAATGCCATAATGCTCTCATATATCATATCTCTATCCAACCCATTAATATCTAGGTATTTCTTAAAAGTCTCCCTTAAAGTTTTTCTAGATATTTCTTAATAGTTTCTTTTATAGTTTTTCTAGGTCTTCTTTTGGCTCTAGTAATTTGACTACCCTCCATCTGATCTACTTTCCTTACTATAGAATCTACCAGTCTTCTCTCTACATGTTCAAACCACTTAAGGAGTTTCCATCATCACTTGAATAATAGGTGTTATCTGATAGAACAGAGGTATGATATAATATGATAAAGAAAAGTATTTTATTAATGAATGTGAAAGTAAAATAAATTCCAGAGCTACTGCTCCTCAGTCAAAGAAACTATTCTCTCACTGCCCAAACCCTAATATCGAAAACAGAAAATCAATCAATGCCTAACTACTGCCCCATACACTCCTCTTTATATGGAGAATAATCCCTAAACTAACTCCTATTTATTTGTGGAGTTTTCTATTCTTTCTCCCATATACCCTCCATTGTTTAGGTCCAATAATATCTCTATTAACTAACACATTCCCATCATCATTTGTGGGATCCGATCCATTCCTATCATCACCCCCACCTACAACATTAGCCTTGTCCTCAAGGCGCAGATCAGAGAATTGACTCTTCAGCAACTGTTCCTCTTCCCAGGTAGCATCTCCAACATCCATCCCTTCCCATTGTAACACACTGCTGACCTTGGCAGGATCAACAGCAACCCCTGCTTTGGAAATGACATGGCCCAAATATTCCACTTGGTGCTGACCGAAAGTGCATTTCTTCCGATTTGCCACAAACTGATGCTGCTGCAGAATATTAAGAACCACCTCCAAGTGCTGTAAATGTTCAGCCCAACTACTACTGTATACTAGGATATCATCAAAAAAAACCAGGACAAACTTCCTTAGAAAGAGCTTGAAAATTGCATTCATCACCGATTGAAAAGTTGCAGGAGCATTGGTGAGGCCAAACGGCATTACCAAAAACTCATAGTGACCCTCATGAGTCCGAAAAGCAGTTTTATGAATATCCTCTTCCTTCATACGAATTTGATGATAACCCGATTTAAGATCAAGCTTAGAGAAATAACTACAGCCATGTAACTCATCTAACAATTCATCTACAGCCGGAATAGGATACTTGTCCTGAATTGTTACCTTGTTGAGTGCACGGTAATCTACACACATACGCCAAGATTGATCCTTCTTCTTGACCACAATGACGGGACTAGAGAAAGCGCTGGTGCTGTTTCTAACCACCCCTTGTTGCAATAGGAGCTGAATCTGTTTTTCAATTTCATCCTTGTGTAAATGAGGATATCTGTAAGGTCGCACACTTACCGGACCCGCACCTTGTAAAAGTTCAATTGAATGACTAGTGTTTCTTGACGGAGGAAGACCTTGGATTTCTTTAAACACAATAACAAAATGCTCCAGCAATCCTTCCAACTCCTTAGTCTGTTGATCAGAGACACACGACACCGGTGACCCTAACACCTCCATCAAGGTAGGCCATTCACAGCCTGCTATCATTCGAGAAGGAGTGATAATGCTTTGGAAAGTAGCCATCTTATCATCTACAGCCTGACCAAGTAGTTTCACCATACTGCCTTTATGGTTGAACTCCATAGACATTTCTTTCCAATCCATGGTCACCTTCCCCAACGTTTCTAGCCACACAACTCCTAAAATCAAATCCACACCTCCTAACTCCAACACATAAGCATCCAAGCAAATCTGCACTGATCCCACTTTCATCTGAATTCCATTGCATCTACCCCTAGTTAGGACACGATGACCATCTCCTAACTTAACACCCAAAGGATTAGAAGGCACCATAGACAATCTCAGGGCTTCAACCACCTTAGGTGATATGAAATTATGTGTGGCTCCACTGTCAATAAGTACCAGAATTAATGCACCTTGTAAACATCCCTCCAATTTCATCCTCCGGACCTGATTTGGATTAGTGGATACACCAAACAGCCCCATGGTTTTACATTCTAATTCCTCTTGTGTGAGCTCTTCTTCCGTCGCAGCCTCCAACACCACAATCTCTCCTGCATCGTTAACAATTTCGTCATCCCCCAAGATAATCACTCGTAACTGTCTTGTTGCACATTGATGGAGAGGATCCCATCGTTCGTTGCAACGAAAACAGAGTCCTTTCGCACGACGCTCATTAACCTCTGCACTTGGTAGATGGCGAACACCACGAGATTGACGGCGTGAATTGTCACCTAAATTTGGGCGAGAAGATGCTATAGAATTGGTAGGACGTGTTGAGACGGTTTGAGATCCAGAATCCGAACCAGTCCGCGTTTGGCCCAAAGAATTATTAGGTTGGGTCTGAGTTGCAGATCCATTCCCTTCCCCTTCTCGAAAAGCCCAATTAGGCTTTTGAGATTTTGTCCAAGAACAATGACCCGGTTTGTAACGTGCTCCAGAACCCTGTCCAGAAGCCACTGCAAATTCACTTTCAACATCACGAGCCAATTGCATTGCTAAGGAACGGTTGCGAGGCTTGAAGGTACGCACACGAGAACGAATATCATGACGTAAACCACCAATGAAATAACCTAGAAACTGTTGTTCTGGCAAACGACCACACTGTGAAGAATACAGTTCGAATTCAACAATATATTCCTCTACTGATCCCGATTGTTTTAGTTCCTTTAATTCCTCAAACGGATTCTCCAAACGCCCACCTCCAAATTGAACCATCATCACCTCACGGAGGTTCTCCCATGACACTTCCTCTGTTGAATCATGCCATAGGTTAAACCAATGGATAGTAGGGCCTTCCATACTCAATTTGGTCAACTGAATACGAACATCCTGCGAAATTCGTTGTACCTCAAAGTATGTCTCTGCCCGAGTGATCCATGAAACCGGATCGTCACCGGTAAATGCCGTCAACTCCACCTTTTTTGCCGATAAACGAAACTCATCCAGCGGTGAGGAAACTGTCGCACTGCTTGGCTGCGGCACTGCACGATGAGCCATTGCACGTTGAATCTCAGCACCAATGAACTCTCATGCAGCAATGCTAGCCTCAACACCTTCCAACCTTTCTTCCACTGCAGAAACACGGTCAGCCATCTTAGGAGTTTTGGGCATGAACAATGGTAGGTCGGACCAATTGATAGAACAGAGGTATGATATAATATGATAAAGAAAAGTATTTTATTAATGAATGTGAAAGTAAAATAAATTCCAGAGCTACTGCTCCTCAGTCAGAGAAACTATTCTCTCACTGCCCAAACCCTAATATCGAAAACAGAAAATCAATCAATGTCTAACTACTGCCCCATACACTCCTCTTTATATGGAGAATAATCCCTAAACTAACTCCTATTTATATGGAGAATAATACCTAAACTAACTCCTATTTATTTGTGGAGTTTTCTATTCTTTCTCCCATATACCCTCCATTGTTTAGGTCCAATAATATCTCTATTAACTAACACATTCCCATCATCATTTGTGGGATCCGATCCATTCCTATCATTATCCCACTTCTCCTTTTAATGTTATTGTTAAAAAATGTGGTTGGGCTTAACTCAACCCTACAAAACCGGTTGGTAGGGTGAGGATTGCCCCCACTTATAAACACATGTTCAAACCATATATTATCCGATGTGGGACTCTTAACACACCCCCTCACGCTTAGGACTAGACAACTGAAGCATGGAAATAAATGGTGGGGGACCCGATAGTGAAAACATAGTAGGTGGCCCACCGGATCTTAAATGAGACTCTTGATACCATGTTTAGAAATGTGGTTGGGCCTAACTCAACCCTACAAAACCGACTGGTAGGGTGAGGATTGCCCCCACTTATAAACACATGTTCAAACCATATATTATTCAATGTGGGACTCTTAATAGTTATTATTCCTAATCCTATCTTGTTTAGTCATACTACCACACATTCAACGCAACATTCACATCTTTGTTACGTTTATTTTATTCTCAAGTTGGGTTTTTTACCTCAACACTCAGCCCGATACAACACTCAGCCCGATACAACATCGTCGGTCACATAGTTTGAGTGGTACTTCTTTATCATATAAAAGACCTTCACTTCAACCACCTTTACATTATTGTAATCAAATTAGTAAAATAAAAAATGGGAGATGGCAGCTCTACTCAATGACCAGTGTTGCAGTATATCGGTATTTGAAGTCGCTGATCATTTGTGCTATGCACATGCAAAATAAGCAGATAAATAACAGAATTACTACTATAATGTTAAATTAGAATTTAGAAATTGGAAAGCAATGTATAACATTCGGATATAAAAAATGCAGATGCTTGATTTCAGTGGATAAAATATTTTGATACTTCATCCAACATAGTATTAATTGGCATACATGTAGGCAAGCAGGGAAGGATAACAGTCCAGTCATAATGATACAAAATACACTTCCTGCTTCAAATCAAATATTCCAAGATTATCACGGATTTTGCACCAAATATTCCAAGATTATCACGGATTTTGCACCAAATATTCCAAGATTATCACGGATTTTGCACCGCTTGTGCTAAGCTTTTTTTTTTCTTTTCTAACTACTAAAGTCCTACTTGCTCCAGATATCGTACTTGTCCTACTTTGTAACATAACTATCTAGATTTGAGCAAAAAAAGTTTTGTGAAATCAAACCAGCCATGTAGATTGCGGCATCCACGGATATTACATGAGTAAGGACCAAAAACCAAGTGTGTGCAAGATTTAGAAGACGAGAATACGGAAAACAAAAAGTGGTGAAAAAATATTGATGATATAGCAGAGCATGATTCAAAATTATCCAGAAAATAGAATATATGGAAGATATAGCAGAGCACGATTCAAAACTATCCAGAAAATAGAATATATATGGAAATATTCTTATCAGCGATTATGCTCTTACTCCCGAATCTACTCATGTAGTGACAAAGTCATTGGGCATTATAGTCATTCCCTGCTTCAAGCTGCTTGGGTGATAAGAGGAAAAGTATGATTCAGAATTTCAGAGGCAAGGTCACAGAACTTATTTAAATGACGTTCATGCATTCAACTATCAAAGAAGGAATGGCTTATCAGCTCTGTGTTTGTTTGTTTGTCAATATGATGCCTTCCTGGTTGTGTGATAGATCGTCACACAAAGTGTGTAATTTTCTGTATAGCACAGAGAATGAATATAAAGGGACATAGTACCCAAAATCCATTCCTTTGCAAACTAAACCTTTTTTACATCTACCTATGTACAGCATGGTCACTATTTTACTACCTTGTCCGTGCATTAGACACATATCACATATACACACTTGTTTGTACACGTCCAATTCAAAAATTATTTTTCAACTCAGACTGGGCAAGGACAAGACTTCGATTCAACATGGACATGACCATCTACTACATGGATATAAAAAAATTTATGTGCTTGACCTGTACATTGCTAGTTCTAACAGCTAAGACAAATTTGCTTAGGATTTTAGAAATGGTGATAAATGTTTTACTCTGAGGAGCTTACAAAGTAGCAAGTATTGATGTCAGCAATGGCTAGGGTGGACTCTCTCAATAGATGGTTCACTATGAATTTTTCCTGATCTACGATTCTTTTATTATTATGGAAGTCTTTATTTATTTTTAATTTTAAAGGTTTTCCCTAACCCAGTCATAAATCTGCAACATAGCTGGGCATCAGACGAGCTTGACCTATGACTCTAATGTCTAAACCTAAGCCTAACTTTTTTTTCAACCATGAAGAGAATCTAAGATCATATGCCAAGTCATTCTGACAGTGGAGAAAGGGGGCAAGATATGTAATGTAACTCACGGAGAGGACTCCACGACAAATTTTAAAACCAGTCGTCCCCTTCCCAAAGAAATCCAGAGTCATATCACCGGTGCTCTGAGAAAATAAATAGAATAAGGACAAGCAAAGGAAAAATGCGCACAAACTAATGGACACCGGTTTTCAATGGAGGTATCGTGGAAACATCTTCTTCACATTTCTAGCAATAGAGGCGATTTCAAATTCCGTCACTGGCTCTCATGGGTACACTTATAACAACACATATAGCTCTTTCATTTCAACGTTAAGGGTGTTTTGTTGTTCCTTGTCTAACCCTCGTCTTTTTTTTCAAAGTCCAACTTCTCCAGGGTCTCGTCTTAGGGAGCAGTTGAAGAGGAATGGGCAGACCAGTAGTATAGATAAAAAGGGGAACACAAAAGGTTTCTTCTACCCTCTAAATAATAAAGAATTGTTGATTGAGGCATGATCATTGTCGAGCACTTGTTGGGATGGTCCACCCTAGCCATCGCCAGCATGGGCTTGTAACGACATATATTAAGAACATCAGAAGAACTTCAAAAGAGGCATGTAAGAGTTTTAACTTTGGACTATAGGTGTCATTATAAACATGGGTTGCAGAACCATTGAAAGTGAGGATGATATATACTTTTGTAGTGAAGAGTAAATGAGGAAACAACATTCCTAAAAAAGTAAACTAATATTTCTTATATCCAAATGTTGTTATATAATCGTGTTAGTGATAAAACAGTACTAAATAGTTAAAAATAAATAAGCAAAAATTGTTTACAACATGTGGATGAACAACAATGCTAGTTCCAATTCCAATTCTAATGCCCAGATTATAAAATATTGGGTTCCAACTATACACTAGTTGAATAATTTTCATCAATTGCGTAAAAAAAAGTAGAAATGAAGCACCTGATTAATAAAATGTCTGGGGTTTCTTCTAAACGTTTGTCGAGATGAAATTTCCAAAATGCACCTGCAATAAACATGAAAAGGTATCATCAAACTCAAGAATGCAATGGAATTGAAATCATATATAACGAAAACCAAAAGAGTAGCTACGGAATCAACGGAATTAAATGTAGGAAAAGATTCGATTCATCGACATCAGAGAGTCAGAATTAGACACGAGCGCATAAAAAGGGAAATGTAAAATATAAAAAGCGTGAGTAGGTTTTGGTTTAGATAGGTGTACCTCCGGAACATGGTAGCCTCGGAGAGATAGCGAAGGAGGTGTTTGTTGAAAAGACTGAACTAGAAAAAAGGGAGTGAAAGAGAAAGTAGTAAATAGATCGGGAATCGTAATTAAGGGAAGGGGTTTGTTTGCCGATTGGCGTGGTTGCGTTGTGTCGCAGCCCCTGCTACAATCTACAAGCCAGCAGTAGCATCAAAAAATCAAAAATGATGTTTCTGGGATTTCAGGGATGTATCGGGGTGGAATCATAATTAGCAAAATTTCATTTAGGACTATTTCCATAAATTTAGTGACTTTTCAGTAAAGAAATATATAAAATTACAATTTAAAAAGATATCTTAAAAAATAATAAATACTTGTACACGGTCCATCAATAAAGAATGTGGCGTGACATGACAAATCTAAGTGTTTTAATTGATTGTAATATTGTTTTACATTGTAAATGCACTTTACCATAATAATAACAACAACAACGTAAAGGATTAATATTTTTTAAAAAATCAATATTTAGAGTGAATATTATATTATTGCAAAAGTATGTTCTTTAAAATTTTAAGTAATTATGAAAATAATATGTTTTTAAATTTTCAGAAATCATAAAAACGAGAAGTCAAAAAGCAGTAAGAATATTATTGAAAGACGCCAGAGTTACGGGGGTAGTCTAAAGAGTGACGCCCAGCTACAGAGACCGGTGATTGTAGAGCAAGAGGTCCAACGGCGGTGGTCTGCCAGAGGTCTAGTTATTCTACATACATCTGACCATTCGACTATGGCAGTTTGACTTCTGGTGGTTGGGCTTCGATGACAATTAGTCAAGTCCGATAGACATTTCGGGTTTGTCGAGCATCAAGTTCAGTTATGTTTGTTCGTGCGTATCATACTTGGTCGTTTCATTCAATGGATTTGTTCGTTATTTGGCTGTGTTTTTTTGTCGGGTATATTAAATTACAGTTGTTATAAATATGTATTTCTAACATTCTTATATTCATAACCTTCTTAAAGTAGTCTCAGCAACAATGAGAAGAGGTGGCAATCTAATGGGGACTTAGAGAGACAAACATAGAAATTCATATGATTGTATTATGGATTTTTGAAAAACCTATGGAGATATTTTAGGGGATAAGGAAACACTTTTAAACATCTTGAACTTTTGTTATTCATATATAAAGAGTTGGAGAGAATGAGAAACACTTGGGTAAAAAAAAGGATTGTTTTTAGAAACTTGGGTGAATTAGAGACTTGGTAACTCTTTTGTAATCTCTTGTAAAAATTCTTGGAAGTATAGTGAATTAGAGTGTTGTTCTTTCATCTATAGTAGATCGATTCGATCAAATGAGGTAAACAAGTTTTTTGTGTTCTTGTCTTTTATGTTTTACTTGGTTATTTCTGGATTTGGCTCAACTTTTAACATGTTAATGTGTTGCTTGAGACCATTTATTTTGGTTTTCATTGTTCTTTGTTTCACATATTGTTACTCTTGACAAAAATAATATTAAGCTTAATTTCAATAAGAATTTGGCGTGTTTGAACCTATAAATAAATTCACTAGAATTGTTAGAGTTTTCACAACAAGTGGCATCCATCATAGAGAAAAGGAGTTTTGCTAACAACTGGGTGCTATGAGGTAATAAATTGGATATTGAGATATTTTTCAAAAACAACTATTTTGAGTTTTGGAAAGAGAATAAACAATCAAGTGTAACGCAATAAAAATGTATTGAGGCATTGAAAGGCGAGACATCGGTGTTTGTATGCCTAACACGAGAAAAGAAGACCAAGATGGTGGATAAGGCCAAAAATGTCATTATTTTGTGCCTTAGGAGTAAGTTTCTATGGGAATCCGTTATGGACAATACTACATAGATGTAGACAAAACTTGAACCTGTGTATATCCAAGTATTTGGATCACAAGTATGGTGGAGTGATCATATCTAAAAGATCTAAAATATGTGGCTTATATATTTTATAAGGTTTCAATATTGTGATTCATTCATCATCAATTACCGAAGACTTTCATAAAAAGAACAAGCTATGGGATTTGAGGTCAAAGCATGGTGGATGCCTAAAGGTTGTTTTAGATCATTTTAATGAATTTTGTATGAGAAAAAAGATAAAAGTGCATTTAAGTATTTAGTTATCGTAAAGCTTATGGGGCAAGGCTAGTGCCAAAATAGTTTACTTGGTTGGCAAACGCTCAATCACAAAAATATACTTCCAGATACCTATTTTGGAATAAGTATTTTTTTATAAATAAGATTTTAAATTTTGGATAGATATGCATGTGTCTATTTTGGAATATATAGAAAATTTATTGATATCATTAATTAGAGTTAAATTTGTGTTAGTTCTAAGTTGTGAAATTGGTTGAAGCAAGGTACTTGGTGGTGGGGCTTAGCAAGTTTAATATAATAGTATGGTTTGAGTCTAAGGGAGAAATTTGAGTCTGAAAAGGATCGTCAGTGATTCCATAATCTTTGAAATTACTTGCAACTTCAAAAAAATGTAAGTATTGAGTTCAACCTAAGAGAATGAGGTGAATTAAGTTTAATGATATTTTAAGAGATTTTATGAATTTTTTGGTTTCTTGTACTTTTTTCCCAGAATTAATGAACAGATGAATGAATATGAAACACAAAATTAAAGTGCAATAAAATAAAATACACGGAGAACTATACTAGTTCCCCTTTCTAAATAAGGGTATATCTAGTCCCATCACATCCTGTGAGATATTTCCACTATGTTAGATCTTTATACAATTTTACATCTGACTTCTCTATACAATCTTCTAACAACAATCAACAAGGCATTACACCTTTTCATTTCACATCTAAGAGAAAGAACCTTACTTCCTCTTGAACACACTTGTTTCCACAAACTTGGCAAACAAGCAATATCACTAAGTTACATATAACTTTGAATCAGTAATACTAGTATAGTAGAATTATGATACACAACAAAATTCCAAAAAAGTTTCTTTCCTTTCAAATATAACAATTCAAAATATTCACTCTAAGTGCTCGAGAACTTATCTTTCAATGATTTGAAAATAATGCTGAAAGTTCTTGAAATATATGTTGTTTGATACAAATGAATTGTGTTGAATATATTTGAAATAAGTGAGTTTTAACAAAGAAAAATTCTGCAATTTATATCATACAAGACACCTTTAGAAAACCATGACAATGCTTATAAATGTTCATGATCAAATGACATTGAATTAGGAAAAGGGTATGATGAAAGTGTGTGATTCTGTTAGATATGTTAGTCAAATTCAAATGTACTAGCCACTTCATGTACACTTGACTCTAATGTGGAGATTAAATTAATATGCAGCTGATTGATTAAAAGGCTTTAAGTTAATTAAATCGTTTGTCACTTCATTTTTTTGTATTTGAAAACCCTAACAGAGGAATAGGTCATGGAGACGAAGATAAAAGCTTTAGAGAGAATAAATGCTTATGCGAAATTGAAGGTGCAAAAATCATTTTCTAGGGAACACGAGGGCGAAGGCGCATTTGAAGATTTTATTTTAAAAATGGATAATAATTTGTACCTTCTTTCTAATTTAGGTTTAGGGTTATCGTGTTTATCTATTACTAGGCTTTTTCGTTTTCAACTGATATTTGTTTCAGTTGTAGTAGGATTTTTCGTTTTCAATAATTTAGGGTTTATAAGTTTTAGGTTTTATCTTTTTTAGTTTTACGTTTTAGGGTTTTATGCGTAGCTCTATGTGAGGTTTAGGTTTTAGGGTTATCCTGATTTTTTGCCCCCTTTCAAATTATGATTTTGCTGGACATAGGTAGTAATGGAAGAAGATTTGCTTTTGTTGAATTCGTCATGGTTGTGATACTCCATATTTCTCTTAAATGCTCAATTGGGTGTCAGTTGGATTTATTGGAGCTCTCAAGTGCTCTAAGTTTCATCAGTTGAGACCAATAGAGTAACTAATAGGCTCCGAAGAGATCGATTATTGATAAAAGAGATAGATCAATACTAATAAGCATAAGAGAGGATATTTTGGTAATTATAATATTTGGTCAATTGGTGTTGGATGACAAAATATCATATGGAGATATTTATGTCATTACATGATATTATTGTATATTATATATTATATATGTAACTTTCTTCTTTTTCCCTTCTATTTCTTTTCACCAAATACACACACACACACACACACAGATACAGACACACACACACACACACACACACACACATATATGGGAAAAAGAAGAAAAGTTGGTAAGAATAGAGAAAGAAAAAAAAAAAGAGGAAGAGGAGAGAAAAAGGAAAATAAGAGGAGAAGCTCGTGGAGGGAAAAGAAAAGTTCTTGGAAAATGGTTACTTGCATATTAAGGTACAAATGCAAAACACAAGGAAACTCAATACACAAGCTAGTAAAGTATCTTAACACATCATACATCTCATCTAAGGAGATTTTCAAGTCAGAACAAGTTGCTACAAGAGGCATAGCATGAGATGGCATGTGAGATGAGATGAAATCAAAAACTCATGGCATGAGAATCCCAAATTCTCATTGGATGATTCCAGAAAGTTATGGATGGGTCTGAACCATCCTATATATGGATTAGAACTTGCTCAGATGCAAGGTTGGTGAGAGATTAGAGAGGAGAGTGAGATAGCCATTTCAATTTCTTCCATTGCAAGTTGAAATCAATTTCCACTTTCCACACCTTTTCCATTGCTTCTTTCAATCCCAACACCTTCCATTGATCATACTGAATGTGTGCATACCAAATTGAGGGCAAGATCATGAAGAATTGAAGAGTTAGCATTTGGATTTTGGGAGCTGCAAGTCACAATCAGTTTTGGAGATTCAAGCTTTCTTGATCAAATCTTTTGCAAACAGAAGCTTTAACATCAATCAAGGAGTGTTTCTGAAGAGTTTGAGAGGTTGAAGTGAAGCTTTGACCTATCTGATATTCAAGATTTGACAGGTTTGTAACTTTTATCCTACACCATAATTTATGCATAATTAGTTAGAGTTGTT